ATCTGCAACAAATTGAGTCGCAAACTGGTAGAAAATGCACGTTTTATTATTCTCTGTTTACACACAGCAAAAGACTGGCATCAGGCATATATTTTTAGCATGGTGAAAATTAATCTAAGAAAGCTTTTTTTCATCTCAGTAGGGGAACCCCTAACATTTAGTGTGATTGTTGGGACCTCTACTTTGTGTAACAGTTAACAAGCTGCCTGATTCCTATTTAAGAGCTCATTTATGTCTGCTTGCTAGCTTCTGACATTGTAATAGAATTCTATTCAGAAAAGATTATGCTCAGGCTTTCTGATGAAAATTTTCACCATCTTTGAATTGTGGGTACAATTTCCCATATGTACACTTCTAAGATTCCTTCAAAGTTCTTCCAAGAGGTTTTTCACTGATTGGTTTCCAATCTAACTTTTAACCCTTACCTGACATCACCTCTGCATGCCAACTGGACAGATGGCCTCTCATCTTGGACATACAGCCATCTGTACGAGAGCTCCATGCTCTACTTTTTACAGCTTATTTACAGTGGATGAATGCAGAGCCTGTGTAGCATCAAAACCAGCACGAGGCAGTTAAATGTGGCGATGGTGCTGCACAACTCAACACTGATCCGCTCGTTGACTTCTTTCAGTAGCTAAACAGTAGTCAGTAACTTCCCTCTGTCCCACTGTGACTATAGAGCAGTGGCTCTCAACCTTTTATTGGGCCAGCGCCCCCCTATCCATTATCCAGGTCCCTTACCGCAACCCATCAAAAAGAACTTAGCTATTTAAGTAAATGTTCCTCTCCCAGAAGATTTTGAGCATTAAAGACTTAATTTTCTGCATTCTGGTGAAAATTTCTGCTCCAATTTCTGCCTTTTCTGTACCAATTTATGGTGGAAATTTTTTATATTTTTTTATATAAAGAGAAACACAAAACTGAGGTGACAGGTGACAATTCAAAATATAATAGAATGGAATATAATGCAGTAAAGCTCTCAGGCATTCTTTACTTCTTTTAAATATGTTTCTTCTGTAGATAAACTTAATATCATCCCTACTGTGTTAATCCACATGATTTACTCTTCCCTCGACTTTTGTGTCTTTTGTTTGTGGATTTAACCTCTATACATTTGTTTAAAGCACAAATTCATTTTCACCTTAGTGATAAATGAATTCATTTTAATTCACTTATTGACTGGATTTTAATAGCTCATCTGTTTTAGCAGATTTTCTGCTCACATTCAAAACTTTCTGCACATTCAGAATCCCTCCCACATTTCTGTGTTCTCTGAGATTTCAAGAAAAAAAGTCATAATATTACGAGACAAGGTAGAATATTGCGAGGTACGTCCACTTCACGGCACTCGCTGGTGTCGTATCAGGTGGTGTTGTAGTCAAGACCGCCCAAACTGAGACCAAGTTAAGACCGAGATCAGAGTTTATCGAGACCGAGACAAGACCAAGACTTTTAGGGGCTGAGACCAAGTCGAGACCAAGACCGAGGGGGGGCGAGACCGAGTCAAGACCAAGACTGGTTCGCCACATTATATGACACACAGTAAAATGTGGAACAAGATCATAGCTACTTCTTCTGAAGATCCACATTCCCATTAAAACACCCACATACAAACACTAAGTGCTGAAATCAACGCAAGCATTGCAATTGCAGGGAGCGGTGACAGTCTTTGACGGTAACAACACATTTTAATTAGGGTTATTGGTTGCATTTGAAGCAATACGTTTTACATCCAATCAAAGTTGATGATGATTACAAATAAATCAGACAATGCAAAAGCAATTTAATGATCTTCCCAAAGTTATGGACTTGACTGGTCTTGAAATAAAATCCCGAATCCTCAATGTCCAAGACTGAGACAAGACCAAGTACAAATGCGGTCGAGTCCGAGACGAGACCAAGACCATCAAAAAGTGGTCTTATGACCGGTCTTGAGACCAAGACCAGTCTCGAGTACTATAACACTAGTATCAGGTGCTGGACGATGGACAAAGTTTTTTTCAGGAGAAGTCCAACAGCGGAATATCCCTTTTGTAAATGTGTAACCACTGTGAAAAAAAGGAGTTCACGGTGTATTCCTCAGACATAAACACTTTTCCGTGGCAATACCAAGAAAGAGAGCCATTTTCCAGAGTTTTCCAGGCAGTAAACGCCATGTGGATGAAATTTTACAGATAATATTCTGACTTCCTGTTCCTGTAAAGACAGCACGAAGCTGTGCCACAAGTAGCTGACAGACGTTATATATCGTCTCGCCCAGTCGCAGTGGGGTAAACTGGCTTTAATGTTGCAGACCACAGTTTTTTTGCAAGTAGCCTAGCTGAAAGTTTAAACTCCCATTGTTGTGAATCTTTGGGATAAACTTGCCTTAAAATTTCCAACCAAACAAACACCCCAAAAGTACATCAAACTGCAATAGAGGATGGGGATTTGTGTTGTTGCCCATTGGGTGTTACTTACCTACTAGCTGGCTCAGGTCAAATGCCAAACACAAGTGTGTAATTACTGTGTAATAAGATCAACTGTCACAACACATGTTAGTGACTTATGGTGCTGCATAGCGTCTACATTGCAGATAAGTAAGTTCCCATTCATGTTACTTCACAGACTGGTGGTGTATGCAAATAATGCAGTTTTGTAGTATTGCTGACAACATCTTATAATATCAACATGGGCAAATCTTCTGAACACAAAAAATTCCAACTGCAGACTACAGATATCCATTTCAGCTTGCCAACGGAAAAGAGACTGGTGGCATTTTCAGCATTTACTAATTAGTGAAATTGGTCATATTTCACAGTCTGTAGACAACATCAGCTAGGCATGTGTTGAGTCAGCACACTAAACTAAAGATTAAAAGAGAGTCTTCATCACATTGTGATGTTGTTCAGAAACCAACAAAGGCAGTGGGACCAAGATGAAAAATACATTTTATGGCAGGGCTGCACGTTGAGAGTTGAAAGACAAAGGTATTTATTTCCTTTTAAATTTCACTACACTAAAAAACAACCTTTTTCATGTGATGTGTTACAAATGTACACTTGTTTTGATGAGAATAAAAGCTTCTTGGTGTCCTTGTACTTTGAGCACCCACTCTGAGACTGAGTTTGGGAGTTTAATAACACTCTTAAAAGTGCCTGACAGGACAACACAGATTAATATGAACACATGTACTATTAATTAAAGTATCCACCATATAATATGCAAATGCAGATGTAAAGACACATTTTTCTTTGAACAGTGTTTTTATGTGATATTTCAAAGCAGTGGACTTAACAATTTTTATTTTATGTAAAGTGCCTTCATCCAACATTCATTTTTACCTGCCATATGCTTCTTTGGGTTAGAGAATAATGCCATATCACCATCCTCACACTGTGCATGTGCTGCACCTTACTTTAACTAACGAGACAGCATAGAATCACTAACAGATAGCTTGGTGTATGCTGATAGTTTGGATGCCGGCTGCTGTGTTAGCGGTGTCTCAGTTAGCAGAATTCTCTCCAGGCTGAGTCCCAGAAGACAGGAACAGCTGTCTCTGTCATGGCAGCCCAAGAGCGATCTGAGAACAGCCACAAGCCTTCTCAAAACTCTAGGGATTGACCAACGGATTGTCCACTTCTTGAGTGCATGGATTATTGTATTAGTATAACACGCAAAAAAGCAGAGTGAAATCTCCAAGTAGCAGATCCCATTGTCACACAACGGATGCAAGGGCCAATGACAAAAAGGTTTATGTCTTTGAAGGACCTAACCCTGATAAGCTGAAAGAAGGAATGGGTACAGTACATTTTAATAGAAATGACTACTATCTGGCTCCCACAGCCAGATGAGCACGTAGTGACAGTGCACCCAGAGAGTGCCTTATCACCGAGGCATGTGGAAAGATAAATGAGAATCCGCACTCTTTAAAATTAATTGCAGTCTGCAGTAATAACCTTTCGGTAGGCAGGCACCATGGGTAGCTGTGGGAGCACAGGGGAGCCTTTTTAGCTGGCTGGGGGATTCTTAAGGCGCCTTAGGGGGTGATCCTAGAAACGGCAGCAAATGTCTTTGGTAGCACATGCTGACTGGTGCTGAGACAGGCCAGCTGTTCAGTTGGCAGCAAGACATCTCTTAAAGCAGAGCAGCAGACGAGTGGAGAGTGCTGAGATGGGAGATGGCTTGCTCCCCTCTTATTAAACAGCTACTCACATCAGCAGCATTAGTCACATACCTCCTTGTATGTTGTAATATTTGGATTTTTCACCTTGTTAGCTGTTGAGAATCTACTGGAAAACTAGTCTCTTTGTTATGCTGCCCTAGATGTGTGAGGTGTTAATTTATCCAGTGCACTTTTTCTCCTTTTGAAGATGTAGCAACGAACACCCATTGCATCAGCTAATCTGTTCCTCTCCTCTTTCTCTGCTCTCTTTCACTCCCACTCTCCCTCTTTCATTCGGGTGGATTCTCTCAAGCCTCTGCCTCCAATCCCTGGAGGTCATCCTCTCCCATCTCCTCCTCGCCACAGACAGTGGGCAATGTGGCAGCCTCGCAGCTCAGCTCATTATCACCCACGCCGGGCCCACAGAGGCCATGGCACTGTGGAACACAGCATCGGCCTTCACAGCCAGCTGTCAGGGCTTAACGTACACTGGGGCGGCTGGGGTTCCTGTTTCTATATGGATGGTTTCATGGCAAAAACCTCAATTGTTTCAAATTTGTCTGACGAGGGGCCCACAGTGTCAGCCTTTGCAAACCCCTGTTGTAGAGGATGATGGTGCTTGTTTTCCCTTTGGAAGAGTTATGATGGAACTGCAATACCTAGATGTCAGTGTGTGTTTAGTGGCTGCGCAAACATCAAAGAAATTAGATTCTGAGGGTGAACTGTATTATAGGAAGAACTAAAACCAGGCTTCAAGCTGAGGTCGAGCCAGCATCCTACCTTCCCACCAGTGTCCTCTCTTCAGAGTACATCAAGACAACACAGCTGTCAGCAACACGTCATCTTGACTCACCTTCTCCTGGTACTGCCGTCGAGATGAGTCTAGAGATTGGATTAGCGCGGTGGCGTGGCCCACGAACATGGCGTAGCAGGTAGCACCCACAATCATGCTGAGGATGGTCAGCCACACGTCTGTCATGCCCACAGGGGGGTACATGCCATACCCAATACACAGCATGTGGCTCATAGCTTTGAAAAGTGCGTAGGAGTACTGCTGTCCCCATGTGTCATTCTGGATGAAACAGAGGAGATGGGGTGAGTTAGGGTGAGTACATTGGAACACTTTATCTTTCTATCTTCTTCACTCTATCTCTCTTTCTCTCTCATAAGGGTGTTGATGGCAAATTAAAGGTCAGTGAGCACCGTGACAGCTCAGACACATAAACGCACACATCTAATTACTTCAGACAAAACTAATGGCAGATGTCCATGTCTTACTTCAACACAGAGCAGCTGGCATGGTAAAACATACTCTTCAATATGCAAACATTTGGAGCAAGCAGACATTTGGGCAAGAGCCTAAAACAGAGCCCCGCGAATGTGCGGATGGAGCGTGAGACACTAGAGGCTTGCATGACAGAAAGTAGGTCAGCTATTTAGAAAAATGTGATTTCTCTTTGAGTTTTCTCATTTGTAGATAAATTGCCCCTTTCCTTTATATCCCGGTGGTAGTTCATGGCAAATCAATATCAACTCTTTCCTGGGGGTGACATGTCCAAATTGCTTTCAAACTCATTTCCACAGCGGAAAAGCCAGGAGAGATAGCAATTTTATTAGCGCCCTCCTGGAGAGGTAAGGAGCAATGACCCAGCAAGATAATAGGGCAGCTACTGTAAAAGAAGACAAAACATGCCTCCTTATGATTCTAAATCAGAATAAAACCGACCGTGACTGAGTCAATACTAACACACTCTTTGTCTACCAGGTAGTGTGAGCATAACATGAGGAGCTTTCCATCAGGGAGGTGCCTGCCCCCGAGGCTTGAATTCATTCAGAGAGATATGTTTGTTATTCTGTCACATTGAGAACCATTCTTCTACGTAATGCAATTAATTAGACAGTGTTTACTTTGTGAAACAAAACAAACTCCATTTTGATGTTAATGAGGTGCTACATCTCTCACACAGGATTTCAAAAAAAGTACATTATGAGTGTTCTGCCTCACATCTCAGGGCCTCTACACTCCTAGATGCAGTGGGCTGTTTCTGTGTGTAAGAATCTGAGGAGGCAGTCAGTGCAAACTCTGTGGAAGTTAAAGAAACAAGACTGAGCTGTAGCAACATGAGGAGTAGAAAATGCTTAAATATAATCTAGTCAGAACTGCATGAAATCATCCTGTGACAAGGAATTTGACATGTGAGCCCATATTCCTCAGTTGCTCAGATGGGGGTAATAAAACATTTAAGAAATGGAAGACTGGCTTTTTATGTTTTAATGGTAGTAAGTAAAGGTAGGTTTTTTTAATTATATGAGTAAAGGCAATATTTAACTGGAAAAGTCAACATATAACAGGTAAATCTTTTTTTTGTTTGTTTACAAAACATAGAACAGCACATCCCATCTTCCTCTGCAGGACTACTTAAATCTGCTCTTCTTTGTTGTGGCTTTGTGTATCATGCAGTATTATTTCTATATCTGCAATGCACATAAGGTTCAAAGCATAATCCATGCATACTGTACTGTACCTTAATGATGAGCCACAGTTTACATTATGTTGCCTGACAGCTCAGCCTTATGTAATTTAAAATGATCCCCTTGAAACTTGGCTCTATGTATATTGATCCAGTGGTAAAATGCTAATTTAATGGGGATGAAGGGGAAAGAGGAATGCATGCATGACTATTTCCTCATGGAATTGCATGGATGTAACCATATGTAACAAAGAGGTCTGATTGTACATTTTAATCTTTGTCTTAATCCCTTTTTATCCCGATAACTGAAAGACAAAGAGGTTGTTTAAATTGGAAGGTGAGGTTGCTGGTGTGATCCCCAGTACTGACACTGTCCCTCAGCAGGGGCACCTCACCCTGAATGTGTGTATCGCTGCACAGACAGGTATGGAAAATGAGCTAAAATTAGCTAAAGTGTGAAACATCTCAAGGGACAGTGGTTTGCAACATCTGTCGTTTCTTATGATTAAATAAACAAGTGAGCACGTCAGTGAGGCAGCGAGGCATGATGAACCAAATACATCACCTTGAGCGATGTAACTACTCACGTGACTTCTGTTCTGGCACTCAGAACTGAACATACAGCTGACTGGTTTATGTAAAACTCAAAGTTGGCTTCCTTGAATGTGTTGTTTTGTTGTCACAGTTTTAAACTTAAAATTTATTCTTGGCCCTTTCTAATAAAGGTAGTATTCTGTCTGTGACATAAATTATTAAAGTACTTCAAAAAAAGTTATTTCAGACTATATTGTAAGTATTAAGTCCTAATGAAAATAATCTGTATTGAATAAATAACGTGACAGATTGTAGTGATCATTATATGGATACTAAGTAAATTAAGGAAAACCTGCTCACCCATAAACCTATTCAATCCAGGCTTTTATTCACCATGTGGGCATCTTTAAATTTTTCCCTAAAATGTGTTGATAAACACACAAAAGCCCAAACCATGCTATTGATGCTTATCTCGACATGTATATTGAGCCATGAGTTAAGGAACGCCTCTCCTCAGCTGCGTTG